TGACAACATGGATTGACCTGGAACATTATGCTAAGTGAAGTCAGGCAGAAGAAGAGAAAAAAATGGTATAATCTCACTTATCTGTGGAATCTAAAGAAAGCTGAACTGAGGAGTAGAATGGTGGTTACCAGAGGCTGAGGTGGGGAGGGGGGATTGGGGGTCAGAGGGGTAGGGACTTCAGGTTAGAAAATGAATGCCCTGAGGGTATGACATATGGCACTGAAAGCTGCTGAGAGACTGCATCTTAAATGTTCTTGCCACAAAAAGTAATGATGATTATTTGATGTGATGGAGGTGTTAGCTAATGCTGTGTTTGTAATCATATTGCAATACATAACTGTGTCCAATCAGCATGTTGTATATCTTAAATTTATGCAATGTTTTACATCAGTTATGTCTCAATAAAAATATATATCTTAGAGATTTTTCTTATTGCCACATGTAAATTGACCTTGTTTTTTTAAAAATAAAAGTTATAGTAAAGTAATACTTGCACCTAACTTAAATATAAAACGTGTGTTAAGGGTTTATAATGGAAGGGAATCATCTTCTGCCTCACCCCCTCACCGCTAGCCCTGCTTCCAGAGGCAACTTTTTACACCTATTTTTGTCTTTATTTTTCTTGATGGATAGCAACATATGGTAACATGTTTATACTTCTGTTTCTTAATTTATTGACTTAAAATATCTATTGATATCCTGCCATGATAGATGAGGATCTACTCCACTTATGTGACTGTCTCTATTTATCTATCAATTTATTAATGAGATAGGTGAGCATTTAGCTACTTACTCCATCCTACCTCCTCCCAATATTGTTCCATCTCTAGTTACAATGTCCCCTCTGGTTACCTCTGGAGCCTCAAACGCCATACTTAAACTTTATTTCTCTTTGTATCAACTATGGAGACCATCTTCTGACTTTGAAATGCTGGAATATTAATGAGTCTATCCTTATTTCCACTTATAACACCCCCTCCACAACAATCTTTTTATCTTTCAAAATCTCTCGGCTCTCCCATTGTTTTGTCATTGTCAAGGTTTATAAAGTTTTCCTTCTATTCTGTAGCTATAACAAAGTCTTCTGTGATTTGCTGGTACCTATGGATCATATGCAGATTAGGACTCTTTTAGTAGCAAGTGACAGAAAACTCAACTCAAAATAAATGAAGCAGGAAGGGAAATTAATTTGCTCACATAACACCCAAGTGTAAGGAAAGATGCAAGCTCACAGGAAGCTTCATCCAAAAGTGTTATCAGGACCCAGTTTCTCTCTGTGAGTTTCTTAAATGCTGCTTTAAGAGGCAAGATGTTGGCAGCTGCTCCAGACTTTCACTCTTTAAGTGTAAACCCAGTAAATCCAGTAAAGCAAATTTTGGGATTTATTCTGATTGGAAAACTGTGTTCTTATGCTTAATCTTGAATTTACTGCTGTGAGCAGAGGCTTTGGGTGTGCAGATTATCTAACTCCCATCTCTGGAACCACACCTGGAGCTCTACCCAGAGCATAGAAGGAGTTGCCCCAAAAGGAAGTCAGGGTGTGTTACCAAAAGAAAGGAGGGAAGGAGGCTGTGCACCAGCAATAACAGATGCCTGCCCTAGACCAGTCTAACGTCTTCAGGGTTCTGTTTATATAAACTTGTGAACTGAATGAGTGAAAGATACAGATGGTGATGGTTACTGTGATCTAACAGCTGTGTAATAATTTTTTTTAATGTCATTAGCCAAACAAAACACATCTGGAGGACTAATTTTGCTTGGGAATCACTAAAGTGCAACTATTTATCTGTATAATAATTCTGAGAATTAAAAGATGTAAATTGTATTTATAGTATTATATTACATAAAACACACACACAGTTTTTATAGCAGAGTGAATTAATGTGTCAAGTTCTCTAGGACCCCTGTCATGGCTGCTGTGGCCATCAAAGAGAATGTTCTTGGTATCCAGTTGCAAATATTCTCCTCTCTTGCTCTCAACCCATTGCCCAGACTCCAGAGGTGCTGAGGTTTCCTGCATGCGTGTACCATACTCTGAATGGCAGATATGGTTGCCTACCCAATTACCCTCCCCTTACTTTTCCTAGTTAGGATCTGTTCTTTGTTTTCCTTGGATGTTGTTATTGATGTTGCAATTCTTTTTGAATCTCTTGGCCTGGCCATTTCCACCCCCCTTAGTTGTTGTCCATGTATCCTTTATATTAGTTCCTATAAATCCTTCCCCTTTTCCCCCTGAAATTCCCTCCTCTCTCCCCTCTGGTCACTGTCCCCCTGTTCTCTATTTCAGTGTCTTTGATTTTATTTTAAAAATTCTTGAGGCACGCTGGTTAAAAATTGCTGTTACACGTGTTTTCTTATGTATTAACTTGTCTTCTACTGATTAACAGTAAATTTTGTGACTCCCAAAACTGTAGCTATGAACACTTTTGGACATATCTCTGTGCACATGCACATCTGTAGAATAGATTCCTGGAGGTGGAGTGTTGGACTGAAGGTTTTGGGAAAGTTCCTCTTTGGAGAGTGTGTGTGTGTGTGTGTGTGTGTGTGAGAGAGTGTGTGTGTGTGTGTGTGTGTGTTTGGAACATGATATCGTACAGTGAGTAAAAGCATGGACTCTGGGGCCAAGCTGCCTGGGCTCATAATCTTGTCTCTCTTCCTCAGCATTGCCATGACCTTGGGCAAGTTACTTAAGTTTCTGCGTCTAGTTTTTCTAATGAGTAAAAATGAGAATTAATAATATCACCTTTCTCCTAGGGTTGTAAGGATTAAATGAGTTAATTTGCTGAGATTCATGGCTGATAATAAACACTCAATGACTACTGTCTGTTAATGTTGTTATTCTTGATGAGGCTTAGCAACCACAATAGTAAAAAAGAAGTTCCTGTACCAAACATAAATAAATAAAGGGGAAAAACAAGGAATGAAGAAGGAAAACTTAACAATCACACTAGTAAAAAAAAGGTCATCATTTTTGGTGGGCTGGAGCAGGCAGCGTTCCCAGGCACAATCCTTGGGGGAGGTAAGGTGGACCCCACAGCAGGGCAGCAAATGGGGACAACAAGAGGGATGCAGTTGACCTGAGGGAGGAGCTTGGAGCTAACCCAGTAGTCAGGCGAATGCGGCCACTTGAGAGCCATGTTGTTAACTGCTGTACCTCTAGTTCTAGACAGTGCTTGACACATAGTTGAGTGAATAAATGAGTGAGTGAATAAAACTAGGCTTAAGAATTTTTTTTTCTTTTTAATTTTTTCCTGTCAGCCTCAAGCCTTCAGTAAAGTCTTGTTAACTGTTTTAGCCTAACTTTACTGTAAAGCATGCTTGGGAGAAAGGGGACCTGGGATAAGGAGCAAGTGGAGGAAGCATCATGGAGTCACTCTGTCCGAGGTCACAGTAGCAAGTAGTGCAGAAGAGTGGCAAACACAATTCCTAGGGCTTCCCAGGAGTACTTGCGGTGGAGCCTGCTAAACGCCTGGGTCTCCCGTTACCCTGTAGGACTGCTTGTACTTGGGTATTAAAAGGAGAATATGTTCTGAAACGGGAAATTCTGGTATATCTGGGTTAGCCTGGGGCCTGCTACATGGTATCCTTTTATTCTAAGTTTTGATAAAAATTAACATAAAGCTTGCATTTGATGCTGTATTTACTCTTCCTTAAGTTATGTCTGACTTTGTGTGTAACAGTACAGCTGTTATGATGATAAGATGATTGTCAGGCTGAATGAGACTCAGAGACCAGATAGGGTAGCAGGGATCTCGGGCTTATGACCAGCCCTCCTCAGCAGTGTAACCTTTCTTTTTGAAATCTCAAAGAATCGGTTTCTGCATCTGTAACATGGGGATTAGTGTTATAATATTTACCACCTGTCTGGGCTTATGAGCCCATCTTGACATTAAATTAAAAGAGAGAGCAACCAAATACATTAAAATGGTTCATATACCCTAAAATCTGAAAGTCACTATCAATGGTAAAATCATTACAGTATTATATTTCTCTAACATTCCTAGCAGATGCTTGGCTAAGGAAAAAATCTCCACTTTGAGCACTGTCTAAGACAGTTCTCAAAAGTTATTATTATTTCCACCATTCACATATCAGTGTGTTGAATAGTAGAAGACCTATGTTCAAGAGGAGGTTATTTTCTGAAATTAAGTAATATATACAATAGATGGAAGAAACAGACATTCACACATAATACCTGTGCTAATCGTTCATAATGGCTCACTTTTTTTGTTTTTTGTTTCTTGGTGTTGTTGAAAATTAATCAAGGACTCAGCATGATCATCAAAAAGCAAGTTAATAAAGCCAGGAAGTTTGTTTGAGGCAAAGATTCTGGAAAGAGTCAGAAAAGTCCCTGTGACACCAAACCCAAACTTGGATCTCTCCAGAGGAAAGGTTCAAGTCTACCTTTCCCATTTTAGTAATGAAACAGCTGCCAAGGTCGAGGACCCTCTCGGGGGTCTTCATTTGTGATAGATATCTGGGCGGTGTTTGTTTTGTTTGGGGCAATAAATATTTGAAGGGGGTAACTGAAGAAGGTTATGCGGCTGTTATGATGTTATTGATACACAGGCTGACGCTATTATGGCGGATACTATCAGGCTACATTATCTTTATGCCTCCAAGGTAACCTGAAGCAACTGTCTATTGACTTGGCACTGCCTTACATTGAAGCGGTTGCCCTGCCTGGGGACTGTAACCCAAGCCAGCCACATACCTCACAGACAGCTTTCTGTAGCCGTGAAATCTCCCTGGATGAATGCTTCTGAGAGGGGATTAGCCGCTCAGTGAGTCTCCGCGAGTCTCAGCGAGTCTCAGTGAGTCTCAGCGAGTCTCAGTGAGGGTGGCCTGGCCATCTTCTAATCTATTTAGGGGCAACTTCTAGAAAGACCTTCTCTTCAGGCAAGGAAATAGTTATTTACGATAAGGAAACTGGAGGCGACTTGAAATACTAGAAATTTTTCTTTCCAAAACATGAACTTTGCCATGTTTCACTACAGGTCATGTCCACTTGGAAAGCAAGGCTCGCCAAAAGACTGAAAGCTCCATCTAGAAGGATGCATCCATTTCCATGTTCAGCCCTGCTGACCTGCTTTGGGAATACGAGAGAGAATGCTCCCTTTGATCAGCCCAATGTGCCTGATACTCATTCCACGATCTATGATCAGCCCATGGCTAAAGCAGATGGACACCCAAGTCACCCAAGAGGGGAAGAAGGAACTCCAGAGAAAAGGCAAGATTCTGGCACCCATTCCGAGAGAAACGGCAGTGCAAATCGGAATTCAAGTAACCACTCTGCTGTCCAGCTGGCCGAGAACTCTGAGAGTGTGCCTGGGTCCCTAGGTGGCGAAATGGCCTGTGAAACGGTTAATTTTCAGACTTCTATCCCAAGACCATCAATTATTGAGATGCCAATGGTGAGTATTCCTGATGCTATTGCAGAAGGAATGGTGTTGGAGAGGAGTTCTGATCATTTGGTGAATGCCTTCAGGAAACCAACTTGTTTAACGCTATAGGTATATAAGACGTTGAGGGAAACAGTGAGAGGAAGTGTGTAAAGCCTCATAAAGTTCTCAGAGATGTGACCTTAGCAATGACCCATACTGACGTTTAAGTAACTGCCCATAGTGCTTATGAGCCAACAGTGTCCCAATAAAAGATTAGGAGTAATATACTCTGGAAAAGCTTTTAAAAAAAATTGGTCTATGAAGTTATTTATATGAAAATTCATGCTATGAAAGTTTTGATTATACGATTTAACAAATTGCCTTTACTTAAAATGAATCACATGATATTAGAGCAATCTTGGAAATTTGGAAATGATGAGCACTGTATGCAGAGCAACAAAAAGGAACTGATGAATGCAACTATTTATAGTATGAATGTTGCTGTGATTGTTTTCTGAGACCTAAAGGCAGGAGAAGGAAGTTATTTGGAAAGTATGGTTCTGCTGCTCTTAGAAGGCAGCAATCGTGAGTAATTTATCTCTTTTCTTTTTTTGGCATTGCTGAATTTTAATTATTGAATATTATGTTTTAAGTTGAGCTGAACAATCATTTCAAAGTTTTTTGGTAATTTCAATTTGGGGAGGCAGAGTAGAGGCAGGGTTTCTTGTATAGTGTTTTCCAAATACCAAATACCCCTTAAACATTTTTTGGTCATATTCCTGGCAAGTAGCTTAGGACCAGACTTATAAAACTGAGAAGTCTTTGAGGATCCATTACTAAAACATTTTGATTTTAAAAATTATTTTCTTCCATGTAGTTTAACAAATAATTTTTGTTTGACTTACTGACTTGACTTCAAGAAGCCTCATTACCAATTAATCAAAACTGCCAAATGGTGAAGACAGGATTAAAACATAATTTACAAAATAGTTTCTTTTGACATTCTACTAGCTTATATAAAATGATGAAAGGAACCAAGAATTTCACCAAGTCCTCTGTAACAGCAAGAACAGAAATATTTTTTTCTAGCGCCACTACATCAAAATCCTAAACAACAAACAAAACCTAAAACATTTGTTTAATTTTTAGTTTAATATTAAAATATTTTTAGGAGTATTGTAGTTAGCTGAGTGGATGTCAAAACAAAGTTTGTATTTTTTGCATGTTAAATAAACTAATAATGTACTTGTTTTAATAAACCAAAGGCTTTGTTGGGTAAACATTCCAGCAACCCAGGAGCTACCCTATATTGCTAAGTACATCAGCAACCTCAGAGGTTTGATATGAATTGATCTTTCTGTGTTAGGGGCATATGTGATACAGGGCCTCAAGGTACATAATGTGTGTTCAAATGTAATCAATTAGACATAGTGAGGTAATATCCATATTTATTATCTACTTGTTATGAGCAAAGGCATGGATAGATGACAGAGGTTAGATAGGCCTCATGATAGAAATGGCTTTAATGCAAGTCTAAATGTCAGTGTCCCAAAGAGAGACACACAGCAGATGCTTCCAAGGAGGTTGGGGGGTCTGGAAAGGTACACTGTAAGAGGGTGGAGTTTGAGATTGGTCTAGAAAGAAGGTTAGGGTTTTTAAAGGCAAAGATGAAGGGGATGATATTTCAATAAAAGGAAACCATGAACAAAATCATGGGTATAGGGGAACGTGGTGTAGCAATAGTAACACCAGATTGGCTAAATTGGAGAGAGAGTGGGAAAGGCAGATTAAGGCCAAAAGTGAAATGTCTTGAGTGCTGTGGTGAAAAATTAGTTTATTTGGCAATGGCAACACTTGAGAATTTTGAGCAGAGAAACATCATGCTTGGGATTTCATTCTGGGAAGATAAAAGGGTAGAGCTGTGTAGGGGGGATTAGAGTTGGGGAGACCAGAGCTGAGAAGCCATTGAAATAACCCCAGCCTGAGGACAGTTATCAGAGGAATAGTAGGACGGTAAGGTAGAAGAGGCAAAGAAGGGGTAGCAAATGCGGCAGCTGACTCTGGGGTGCAGACTGAATAGACCACACTGGTAGTGATGAGTAAGTAAGTGCCTCATCTTGCAGGAAGACTAGGTCCTGTGGACATGGTAAATGGGTACCCAACCTAGTCAAATGCAATGAGCTAAAATTTATAGAGCACTTGCTGTTTGCTAGTCATACTTCTAAGTGCTTTACACAGAGCATCCCACTGAACTCCAGCCACAGTGAGGTACATATTCTTATAATTCCCATTTCACAGATGAGGACATTGACACTTTAGAGAGGCTAAGATACTTGCTCAAGGTCACAGAGGAAAGGAGTGGTAGAGCCAGGACTGGAACCCAGAAGTGTGGCCTTGGCATTACTTCTTGGCAAGTGCTTCTATTGCTCATTATTATGTGTGGTGTTTGATAATTTTCAATCAAATATTCATATGTGATCTCACTTCATATGCAATCAAATTTAAATTCTATTTGTGTGTGTATGTGTGTATTTATATATAAAGGTATCTTTGTATATAATAATAATTACTATTTGATTTTTATTAATTTCCTTAACTATTTCTATCTTAGTTTCATGGTATATAACAACACGGAAAGGGACACCATCCATTTTGCCTTTTGCTGGTGACAAGACTTTGTTAATGACAGTGTGGGATTGCTTTGAGATCTGTTGATTAAAAGTGCCAGAGAAATGCCCAGATTTTTCATTACCTAGTAATTTTGTCGTGACATGTTTCCTTGCATTAGTTGATGAATGAGCTTCTTTTATTATAGTCTTGCCCAGTGGCAACAATATTTCCCTTTTGGGACCCCTGATCCTCATCATTTAAGCTGCCTTGGTAGAGACAACAAATAACACATCCTCTCTCTCTCTTTTTGAGTTCAGCCTCAGGAAGTAACCATCGCTAAGAAACGGGGACAAACGAGTCCCTCTATCCATCCTGAGTTAGCGGGGTTCAGACAGGAGGGCAATTCATTTAAATTTGAAACATCTGGTTTTAGAGGAAAAGCTCAAAGTAGAGAAGCCAAGTGAACTAAGTAAAAAGGAAAGGCTTCTGTGTGTGTAGTTACATGTACCTCGTATTTATAAAGTGATGCTGATTAGTCTTCAACCTTTTTATGGTCATCTCTTCCCAGGTCCAGCCTGAAATTGATGGCAACACTAAAATTGTAATATGTCTTCTATCTTCTGATCATAATTTTTTCCGTCTTAGTGGTGCTGCAACTGAAGTGTCTTATAACTGGTGGGGTCATAGAGCCAATGAAATACAAAAGCACGCTGCTTGTTTCTGTTAGCCTAGAGTTACTGTGTTCTCAGTGTGCGCCAGGACAGCACTAAGCCTGGGGAAACAAAGGTGATTAAGACACAACCCCTGAAGGTGCTCACATTCTGGCGGGAGACACAGTTGGGAAAAAAGGCAGTGTCCATGCAGTAAGAGAAGGCTTATGGGTTAACACTGGGCACTACAGGAGCCCATGAAAGAGACTCCCCTCTCAGCCTTGGGAAGACAGGGCTGAAATACAGGATGTGGCAGAAGTAAGGCCTGCTTGAGTGTGGTTGGTAGGGTACGTGAATGTCTTGCACGAGATGGACAGCAATTTGAACATTTCACCTAATGTGTCATATGGTGTGCTTGAGTGTGATATTGTTATGTTACAGAATTTTTTTATGCTTGACTCTGTATGTGGAGGAGAAGGGTGTTTTTTTAAAATTCTTTTATAGTTTTACACAGTACTCAACACTGTACCCTTTCTAGTAGAATGCTGCTGTTTTTCTCCTCTTTCCCTGCCCTTTAACAGACTTGGCAGTGTAAGAAAGACACAGTTCCCACACTAAGCGGCTTCAGAGTAGTTTGGTAGTTTCAGAAAGTCTTTCCATAGCAGTTGTACGTTTTTATCTTGTTCTTATTCCAACAAAGTAGCCAGCCTGACACAGGAAAGGAAAGTAATTATAGCTTAGGAAATCATTCCTTGGTATTTTAACTAAAAGTCAGTTTTACAAGAAGGAAGGAAACAGGGCCCAACCTGAAGTAGACAATTGCATTGCTTTTTGTACCAGGCTGGTTCTGCCGCAAGACAGAAGTGGTAGCCAGAACATCCCCCAAAGCAGAAGGCGGCCTGGACCAAGCCTCAGAGGCTCCAGCCGTCACTTAGTAAGGGTTATAATGTCTACTCGCTGGGGCATACACCTGAAAGTAATATAGTATTGTGTTTGAAAAATAAAAAATGTTAAAAAATTTTAATCTACAATCTGGTGTAACACAAAGGATCAGATTATCAAATCAGAACCATGTAAGTCAGAGATCTTGCCCAGTGTCAAGCTTCACAATCAACTTCAAGGATAGGCAATTAAGCAGCAGGTCTGGTACATGGAGGGTGGATTATGCTGTGTGAGGTGACTCGTCATGGCTTACCGCTTCTGGTCCAGAGAGTTGCATGTCTATTACAGGAAGAAAGTACCTGAGAGCCATCCTCAACTATATGGCTTTCTTCTTTGACTTAGTAGCATGCAAAATATTCGACTAAATTCCTAATGAGTTATTTTTGCTTTGTGATGCTACTTATCATTTCTAGGTGTTTTGAATTTTTGAATTAAAAAAAATTCCTGGATCTATAGTTAGAAAGAAGGAAGGAAGGAAGGAAGGAAGGAAGGAAGGAAGGAAGGAAGGAAGGAAGGAAGGAAGGAAGGAAGGAAGGAAGGATAAAGAGAGGAAGAAAGGTGTCAAAATGTTCTTCCTTTTTAAGGCTGAACAATACTCCACTGCATGTGTATACCACATTTTGTTTGCACATTCATCTAGTGATGAACGCTTTGGTCATTTCTACCTTTTGACAATTGGGAATGATGCTGTTATCAATATGTGTGTACAAATATCTCTTGAAGACTTTGGTTTAAATTCTTTTGAGTATATACCCAGAAGTGAAATTGCTGTATCATAAGAATTCTATCTTTAATTTTTTGAGGAATTGACATATTTTCTACAGTGGTTGTA